GAGAGAGAGAGAGAGAGAGAGAGAGAGAGAGAGAGAGAGAGAGAGAGATCTGTATTTTCTGCACCATTACAGAAACCTGCAGAGTGACTTAATACCAGCACTCCTCTGCTGTGGATCAGCAAAGATCAAAGAGGAATGGGAGCTAAAGAGCAGCAGAGTCCCTGATCTGGACCAGGATCAGAATTATCTTCATTTGATGAGTAAATTTACACTGGGAAAGGATTCCACCTTCACAAGCATTTTTTTTCTTCTTGTAAGTTAATCTGCTTTCATGCATTAGGTGAGAAAGTGCTCCAATGGAGTAAAATGAAAGAAAAATTTCACACATAATCAAAAGAACTGTTTGAATTACAATAAACAAGTTGCAGAAAGAATTGTTGCACCATTTAGGAACTCAATTGGATTGTTTTTGTGTTTGACTCTAGGATAAAGGTAACCACAGTGATGAGATGTTTGGATGCTTCAGATGCTTTTAAAAGCAAGATGCTGAGATAACCAACTCTTTACTGATTCATGTATTTACATTTTGATATGTTATAACTGCCATACTCTTAAAAATTGAATTTAGAGATTGGTATTAAAATATTATTCAGTCTACGCCTGTCCAGTATCACAACATCAATAAAGCAGCATATTTAGAACATGTTTGCCCTGCAGACAAAGAGTTCTGCAGCAAAATCCCTGTTCTAAACAAGCACAGTCTCATTTAAAACGTGTTTTTTTTTCAATGTCCAACAATGTAAAAACCCTAAAGCCTGAAGAAATGCACTTACATGTCCTGCACAGCGGGAACTTAAAAGCCTCTCCACAGTTTGTTTTTTGTCTAGGTACTCCAGTTTTCTCCTTCAGCCCCAAAATATGTATGTTAATAAAGTGGTGATTCTAAAAGGACCTTATGGGAGTTTGTGTGTGTGTGCACGGTTTGTCTCGTATTTCTCTGTGCTTAGAAACTCATTGCCTCCTCAGGGTTCACTGCTGGGATAAGCTTTAATCGAATGCTAAAAAACAAAAATGTAGAGGTCTTTGGAATTCCACTGCATCCAGGTGGCATCTGTGAAAATGTCTGAAGCTTCAAAAATGTTAAAAAAAATTAAAAGGATATTGATGATTTTGTTTTGGCATTTTTTTGAACAGCCGTCGTGTGAAATGTGGCACAAAAAGTGAATAGAAAATAAATAGGTTAGGGTAATTAAAAGTTTATAAAGGTATTGGAGAGGCATATTTATAGAATTGTCAGAGAGGAAGCATCATACTGAGGTTTTCAAATGCAAAACAGTGCCTAACATTTTAGGTCTTTCTTTGAAAGTTACAATCACCCAATCGGTACTTGTCTATAAACCTTCATCTGGAAGTTGAAGCTAGAACAGGACAAGCTGCAATACAAGTCGTATGTCATGACATGCACACTCAATTTAAATGAACAGGAAACTACACATTGGCAGAATAACAAAAAAACTCAACAAATGTATTTGTCAGATGTTAACCCTTGTTGGCGTTCATTTTTTCTAAATAGTTTAGCTATAATTGCTTCAAAGAGAGGTGCATGTTTGTGTGCAAGTGGGTTTTGAATCCCCACATTTCCAGTGCACAAACTCTGGTTCCAAAAATACATCATGAGTTTCCATACATTATCTTAAAAAAAACAAAAAAACAAGAAGAGATGATGACTGGGATATTCAAGCTCCAATATACAGCGAGTAAAATAAGTATTGAACACATCACCATTTTTCTCAGTAAATATATTACTAGAGGTGCTAATGACATGAAATTTTCACCAGATGTTGGTAACAACCCAAGTGATCCATACATACAAAGAAATCAAACCATAAATGCCCAGAAATGAAGTTATTTGTAATAATGTGGAATAGCACAGGGAAAAAGTATTGAATGAAGAAAGGAAGGTGTAAAAAAGCATGGAAAGCCAAGACACCAGCTGAACTCTCTCAGTAATTAGAAAACAAGCCTGCCCCTTGTCAGTGCAAGTTAACATCAGCTGGTTCAGTCCCAAATGATGGCCAGGTATCACACAAGAACCATCTGATGATGGGTAAAAGTAAAGAGCTCTCTCAAGACCT